GGGATATAGAATGACCTATCTTCCACTGCCAAGCAGGTTACTAAGCGGATGACAGTGGCTAACCTCCGAGGGTCATAACTTCCTCTCATTAGACGCTACGTCCATAGCATTTGAAACTAGGAGGGGCTACGTTTTACATTACTAATGAGTTGGCGGGTATTGTAATTGTACTGTTTTCGTCCCAACTGCTCACAAGCTACATAGCACAGCCTAGTCCGGAAAAGCACCAGACGCGTTTCACTCTATTGGGACTCGTCAGTGGTGCGCATTCCCTCGGTCCTCCACTGAAGATCGAACCCATGACGGCTAGAGGCAGGTGCCAACTATCCAGCAGCTTAAGCCACTGAGCCATGGGGAACTTCGGCTGGGCTACACAATTTGCATGCTAACTGGGATATAGAGAGACCTATCTTCCACTGCCATGTAAGTTACTAAGCAGATGACAGTGGCTAGCCTCCGAGGGTCATGACTTTCTCACACTAGACTCTACGTCCATAGCATTTGAGACTAGAAGTGGTTCCATTTTATAATACTCTTTGTATTCAGCACTAGTCCAGACTTGACTTCACAAAATGTCTTCTGGGCTCAAGGTGGACTAACTGAGCTTCTGTAAGAAGGATGGAAAATTCAGCCGATCAAATCATTCACATTCGTTACAAATGGTGTACTGAACAGTATTTTTCAGTTCACTGTTTCTCCATCCTGAGCATATTTTAACTCACAATGATCCGCGTTACTGAGACCTATGCTTCTTCTAGAGGAGGGCAAACCATTTCCGTTCATAGTAATGACAGTTCTACATCAAATCTGTACTGGCTATGGTACCAGATGTGATTAACCAGAGGTACCACAAGCAATATGTTGTTACTTTTATCGGGATTACCCTGTATTATGTACACAGACTGTTGCTTTTGGCAAAACCTCAACAGTTATATGGGCGTCTGGAGAATTGCGCAACCAGAATCTACTCGACTATTTTGGCTTGCATTTAGCTCATCTTCGATTATTTTCGTTCATGGCGTGCCCCGTGCTACCGACAACCAGTAATGAAGAAGCCAACGCTCATGACCCTTAAGAATGGCGTTCCATCCGTAAGGCTCTTTGTGCGGGCGGCGTCATACTTCAGTCGATTACACGGTTACCCGTGTCGCCAAACTACAGAGGCAGTGAACCGAGGATACTGAAACTAACGATGCAATCACAACAGATGGCCGTGAAATTAATTCGTAGCTGGTAGTCACTAGGTAACACACTTTCCTCGGAACTTCGACTGAAAACAGCTGTTAGAGGGCTGCAGTTACTCACTTTCCTCGCGGAAACGACACCACCCGCAACTCAGTATAACTGCAAAAGCGATTCAGGAATCTGTGCGCTAAGATCCGTAACTATCGAGAAGGTTGCCGATGGACTACATACTGCAGATGCAAGTGAGACCAAAAACAGATTGCATTCCTATAGAGATTTAGAAATTCACGCATAAAACGATTAGGTGTTGGCTTCTGATCGCTCGGCACAAATCCACATAATTCATGTGCTTCTAATCAACAGCTTTTTACGTCCGAGAAGCTTTCCTATATGTACACCAACGCTCAAGGCTTACTGAGTAAACTTTCCGAAATGCGGCTGCACCAAGGATCAAAAGCCTGCGACATCATCGCCATAACGGAGACATGGTTACTCCCTGACATAAGTGACATGGAGATCGCATTGCCAAGCATGTCCATTGTTCGGCACGACCGACACGGCAAAAGTGGAGCGGTGGCTTTGTACTTCCGCAACGACCTCCAATGTGAGCTCATAGAGGATCCGGTCAGCACGGTACAAGATTCCCTTTGGTGCCGTCTACTTTAAAAAGGCGACGACACTTGCGTAGTGGTGGTCATTTCCCACCCTCCTTCCTCCACGCCTGTGATAGACTATCTGGCATCTGCAATAAGGAGTTTGATATACACAACTTAGACACATTCTGAGTACTGGCGATTTCAGTATCCACGTCCTGGGCTCCCAAGCAACTCCCGGAGTACAGTTTAAGGTCGATATACAAGAGTTTGTCTCCAGTTACCCGCTGTATGGCCCCATCAGCACTCCCACTCGATTCCGAGAAAATGATAAGCCGTCAATCCTGGATCTGATATTCACTAACGAAGGCCCGATGGTCAAGAGGGTGATCATCGACGTCCCACTGGGCCGCAGCGATCGTGTAGTCCTACTCTTCGAATACATTTGTTATGAAGAATATCCCGTGGAAATTGCCAATGCAACAACAACGATTATACGCTGCGACCTATTAGCTCGATTAGGTTAGACAGTAAACTAGACCTTCCTGACAGACGAGGCACCAGCTAGTGTATGGGAACATTTCGTCAGCCAGTTTACCTCTGTGGTTACCGTAGCTTCATCGACTTAGACCTTCCGCCTGAGAAACGTGGTCTCCTTTCTGCAAAGCAGGACACGCAAGTACATAGCGGTGCGAAACTCAGCCTGGCATATCTACAAACTCTTCCAGAGCACCGAGTACTGGATGGCCTATGCGACCCAACGTAACCACTGTACTCAGCTTGTTCGCGGGGATAGAATGGCGCACCAACAGAACTTGGTAGTGCGTATGGCCTCGAATCACAAACCTCTGTATCAACACGTCAACAGCCTACGTAAGGTGAACCGGGGAATTCCTCCTATTCAAACAGCGGACGGACCCACACGGATACGGAAGGAGGCGGCGAATATCCTGCGCCTACAATATGCTACAACATTTCAGTGCGATCACTAGCCACCTAACCCTCTGGAGATGGTTGTGTTACCCCCGAAACTCACTCACATATCATTCACGGCAGAAGCTGTACTAAAATATCTGTTGAGTATGCGCAAGCACAGCTCTCCTGAAGTTGATGATATACACACGAAATCACTAGCGGTGGTAGGAGAGAGTTTAGCTGAGCCGTTTGCTCTATTTTTTTCAACAGTTTTTAACGATATGTAAGTGGCCGACTTGTGAAAACACGGGATGATTACTCCTATTCACAAGGGAGGTAGTCGTTCCAATCCAGCCAACTACCGTCCCATAATCTTGCTACCGGTTCTTTCGAACGTCATGGAGGTTAGTATTTCTGATGCGATAACGGCCTACTTGGAAGAATTTAACTACTTATCACCGGACCAGCATGGCTTCCGACGAAAGGGATCGTGCATTACAAATCTACCACTAACACGATCCAGCTGGACTGAAGAAGTAGACTTTAGCACAAGAGTTGTAGTCTTCCTCAACTTCTCAAAGGCGATTGACCGGTTAGACCATAACATTCTGCTCTTCAAACTCCAGATCACTGGTATTGGTGATCCTCTCCTAGGATGGATCAGAACTTTCTTCTACATCGGCGCCTATAAGTACGTGTGCTTGAACCACTGTCAGATCGCATCCGAGTTGAATGCAGAGTATCACAGCGATCGGTACTAAGACTGCGATTATTGTTGACATATATTAACGATGTCACACGCCTCATAAACTCGAACTGCCTGTTTTATGCCGATGACATCAAGGTGTGGAGGGGGCTCAATACACCAGACGATATCACAGTACGTTATGCTGATCTGGATGGGGTATACGCTTGGTCAATCCAGAATCTGCTTCGATTCAATGTGGACAAATGTAGAGTGCTGCGCCTACGGCACAATTTGGTGTACTACTACAAACTCGGCAACCAGGAGTTTCAAACATTTGGCGAGAAGGACCTGGTTTTGTCCAGATCGACCTTGGATGTTCGAATCAGTCTGAAACGCCTTCAAGATTTCCTGAAACATGCATTCGGACGATTCGACCCTTCGCTTTTTCCACAACTTCTCGGGTCATACATACGGCCACATGTGGAATACGCAATACAGGTCTGGCAGCCACGGCTGAGGAGAGATCTCACCGCGTTGGATACCACAACGCCTGGCAACCAAGAATGTCATGGGTCTGTATAATTTGTCATATGAACGAAGGCTTCAAGTGCTGGGGGTCTTCAGCGGACAGTATTGGCGATTGCACGAGGACCTCACTTTCATTTACCGGATTTTGAGATCCCAACCACACGTGCCGCGACTTTGCTAGGGCTCAGTCACAACAGCAATTTGAGAGGCCACCATTTCAAGCTGGCAGAGCAGCACAGTCGTTTGGAATACCGTCGGAATTTCTTTTCGTTACGCGTTTGCAGAACGTGGAATGCCCTACCGGAATCTGTCATATGTGCTCCTACGCTGGCAGAGTTCAAAGCCCGAGTTGACTGTGCACTTATTTCGCTGCACCATTTTACATGACCCATTACCCATGGATAAACACAAGTGTCTGTAAGCGATTTCACTGGCGGTCACAGCAGATTTCGTTCTGCGTTTTTCACCTCCTCTATGTATACAACAGAGGGAGATACAATTTTTAGCAACATCCCATTTGTCGTCATTTCTTATGAATTTACCTTAGATTTACAGTCTATGCTGCATATACTCTAGTGAGTTCACTGGTGTAAACCCCATTTTGCCAATATTTATTTTTATATTCTGCAGTTTCACCACAACCTGTTAAGCATCAGCTTTTTTACCCGGATAAAACAATTGTTCCACTGTTTGATGACGGGAATGCCGAATCACCTCAACGCTAGCTAGTCTACACAATGACGCGATGTTCACGATTTGGAATTCTTCGCAATCGGATTCGTGTGGGCAAAATCTATGGGCAACGCAACCTTACACATGCTGGTGGGACCGACGCAGTTGCATTCTGCGCTCTTTGGATTTGCTCTGCCATGTCACGTTACTATATACAGCAGCTTCAATGACAAGCAGACTTGTTGTTTCGTATAATAGAGTTTAAGTGTGTCAGGATTGCCCGTTTAATTATCTTTTCCTGATTTTTTATTCGCTTCCACGGAACCAGCATGTTTGTTTTCCCCTGTTTTCTGCACATCGTTATCTGTTTCGCCAGATGCATTGCCCATGTTCCCTTCCACTCTGGCCTTTTAACATAGATGAACCACCTCCAAAAGCCACAACACTCATCTGCTGAGGAGGATTTGTTCGATTTTGACAAAACTGCTCCCACTAAATCCGATCATAGTCAGTCGATCCACTGGGCGCGAGAGTTGATCGGCCGTTTTCGCCTGAATTCTGTGCATGCATATTCAGACCACGAAAGATCCCCTTCTAACGCCAGCAGCAACGCTGGTCGCCGCCATTCCACTCCGCATTCAAATGGGTCTAGCAAGTCTTCTGATAAAGGGAATACTGGCGCTTGTGTTCCCGATCAGATCAACCCCAAACGCTTGCCAAGATCTCACGGACCTGTTAGTGCTTTTCTGCAGTTCTCTGGAAAACCGCTACATCATCAGTCGAATATTTCATTGACCACAAGCTCTATTCCGATTCCAGTGACTGCCACTCGTGGTGGTTGCGGTTCGTCTGCCCTCAAATCTTCATCCTGGAAGCCACGGAAATTCTCTGCTCGGGTGCGCTGGGTATGTATATCGTTGTGGCATCATGTAGTTTGAAACTGCGAATGTGACTCGATACCTCTGCCTCTACACTGACTCTTCCGCACTGTGGACATTTCATGCAGTCTACCGTTGTCCCTGCATGTTCCCGAGTACTAACTTGCTGTCCGAATAGTAATTTCTTGTGTTTTGCCCGTCAGATTGACCCTAGTGGTCAGGCATCCGGGTCGCCAACATCATTGCATGCTACCATTTGATTGTGAATTTCGTTAGACATTTCATCTAACTGACAAAACCAGATTGATGTTCAGACATTATTATTTCATGTAGACATTCTGAACAGAGCAGCGAGCGCGAAAAGTGGTTTGACGTTATCATGATTACCTGAGTAAACTAGACAAGATTGTTCGCTGGTGGCGATTCACGACCGACAAGTAGATGACCTCCATCAACCTGCTTTCCTCATGGAACTGTCCCTTGTAACATCGAATAGCTCCACAGGTCATACAAGCCATTTTACTCGATTGACTATGACATACTTAGTATTTTTGCTCATTATGATTCTCCATAATCCTTCATTGGCTATCGCACTTAAATTGGTTAATTCATGAAATGACATCATAACTCGCACATTTTTTCCGTTCTCCAGCTGAGCCAATCGAACTCTGACGGACGGGATGAGGTTCCCTCGGTTTCAATTTCCGGTATGTCGTTTTGCCCATGACGCATTGATTTTCCAGAATTCGGCGGCTGTTTACATTGATGCCGCCCGCATATTACATATAAATTTATACGGAGTTGTCAACTTTCTCCTTGCTGTTACCCTCTTTTTGTTTTGCGCGTATTGGCGGTAGTTTTGGTGTTCTTCCACCTACTTATCTGTTGTGTGTTACCACGCTGCTTACTTCTCCGGCTTTGGTGGCCATCATGAGGGCATTTTCGCCCGGTATCGACGCGTGACTGTGTTTTGGACTTGTGACGCATCTATCAAATGTGTATGCTCTACAACGTAGTAGCCACAGCAAACAGATGCACCGATTTAATGGAGCTATTATTGGGATCACGTGACGCCTTTATTAGACGTCAATTGATCCTTTATTGTTTGGACCACACCGAATCTGATGTGGTAGAGATGAAGGGGAACGATGTCGAACATGATTAGTATTCGACCCAGAGTTTAGCTTTTTGAACCGCACCCACTAGTTGCTTCACTTTCGGTTTGTGCAGGCAAACGGCTTTGTCTGCCGAGGCTCACACATATCCTGATCACGACCTTTCCACTTACCCATTTCCCCATGGCTCAGGTTGTTCCAGCATCCAGTCTCGTCTGTGCTCTTCTGCCCTTGAGCAGTTTCGGGGAGCGGTCGACCCACTATCAGGTGAGTATTCGGCGCATGCGCCTTTACGCAACTGTTGTCGTGTTTTCGGGCGGTTGCTCTTCCTTCACATCTCGGTCAACATTGAACTTTGACTCTTTACATCCCGTTGGCCTATGGCATGCAGAGTGGTGCATCTGGTCGCCTCATTACTTCCGAGTTACAAATTTTGTTTTCATATTATGCTATGCCACGGAATTTTCCCAGCTGTTCATCGTCTGCAGCGCCTGTGTGGTTGCTTCTGTACTGATCTACCTTGCCGATTCCTTCCCCATCCTTGCCCTGCCATGTGTCGCTTCGATTGTGTCGCTTACGCTTCACCAAGGTGGCCTGACTCATCCCGTTCGCATACAGCCGTTTGCACCAAACCCTTTGCTGAGTAACCGGGCTACCTTTCGTGTGAAACGCGCTTCCGAGTCACAGAAGCTGCTGGTCATCAGTAAATCACTCTCCGGGGTAAGTACCCACTGACTTGCTCCCTCTATCCTAATATGATTTGGTTGTCAGACGTGTGCTTTCGGTCATCTGCTTCTACAACCAGTTCCTTTGTTAGCCGCTTTACGTACCGAAACATGAGTAATTACTGTCTTACTGCCAAGCTTGGTTCATTCACTGTTAGTAGATTTCGGGCTATTCAGGCCTACAGATAACTGCGCTTCCACGAATGTGATTCACCTCTTACCGATTTCCTAACTGCTGCTACGACCCAAGCTCTGTACTCATCTCTGACTGCGATCATACTGTTGATTTAGATCGGACGTCGTTGGAACAGCGGGAAGTCGGGTAGCTTTACCCTTCAACCCGAGCGCAAAATTACACCTTACATCCTTCTCACCACTGACCTTTTCTCCTTCGTTCCAGTCCCAGGAGGAACCTTCGCCTCTCTCGGTCGGGCACTTTGGTGAGTTCTCTCTCCTAATACCACATCAATTTCCGCTTTACAGTAGATCACTCGTGTTCACCCACTACACTGCCAATTACCTGCTTTGATCCACAACCCGTGTGTTCATCTGTGTGCTGCGTCGTTTCGCAGCGCCTATGGTGACTACCGTGGATCGCCTTTGCTTTTACATCGAATTGTCCCATCTCACTTTTGAGTAATTGTGATTGTAGTGGTTGTGTGTAAAACACATACATGTTTATTAGTTGAATTTTGTTTACCGTCTAGATCTGCTCAGGGCTAGGTCGCAACCTCCCAGCCTATGCATGCTTTCTTTCGTACTTTGAAAATTCTGCTGTTACTTTATGATCAAGAGCCTGGATGCGATTCCTGGTTGTTATACTTAAATGAGAGGAACCAACAGCACTAGATGAGCATTGTCGCATTGTCGTGCAGGTGCCTGTGCCTCTGCCTCAGCCTCTGTGCACGGTCATGTGCGTGATCAATTTGTGGTCGCATCCGTTTGTGGTCCATTTCCAAAATGCTTGTCCACACGTGCCGCGCGACTGGTTGAGCACACACTGCGCAAATTTCAGCTACCCACCTATCACAGGACACCTCGCACACACAAAGGGTTATTTGGCAGACAGCTGCGTGTCGGTTGCTGCCAGCGCTACGAGTACACTTACTCAGATGTCCTCTTGGATTTTAGGATGAGGCGAGAATTGGCACGTCTCAGTATTCTTCAGTCATACGGTTTACCGCATACCGAAAACAGTCGACAGGAAGTCATATGTTTCTTGCACTTACTCACTTCGTCAGATATGACTTGTCTCCAGGTTCAGCCGAACATTTTCGGCTGCTTAGCCTAGACGTCTGGGATTGCGTGGTCGTCCGTTAAGCTCTGCGGACATTCCAAAATCAAAACAACCAACCTGGCAGGCCCTACAGTATTTCAAGTTATTTCAAACCACGTGATTACACATATGACCCGTGCTTTTGATCGCCCGAGTGGATTAATGTTGATGCATAATCAAGCAGGCTTAGAGCACTGACCCAGTTTGGCTGGCATACGTCCCGTGCGTCTTCCGGACTGGGGGATCAAAGATGAGGAACACCGCTGGCTGGAAACTTTCGGAGATGGCACAGAACCGGGCTCAATGGAAAATGTGTACAAATGTTTATCCTGGTTTGCTTGATTTACATCACAAACATTCAACAAACAAATAAATAAATAAAACGGCGTGTGAAAAGAAATCAAAAAAGAAAAGAAGATACAAAAAATCTTCTTGCAACTTCATTCTTTTCGCTGTGGTCTCTGTATTTATTACTTCTGTTCCATGGCTTTCGCTGGCTCTATATCTATCTTATGGACTGCTGTTAATATATATATATATATATATATATATATATATATATATATATATAAGCGCTTTCATCCACGGATACCACCAAATATTTTATCAATACTTTTTCTCAGCCAATTGGATCCATAGCGCTTTCGAATTCCGTCTTACGAAAGTCATGCTCCTCCACACATATCTCAATATGATCCTTAACGCTTTCCAGTTGCATTCAACAGGCGCAGACACTCCAAAAAATACGTGATGTGCGTTGAGTGACCATTCTTAAATAAGCAAATATAATAACAGATGAGCCCACAGAGAGTGGGATGATGTTGCCTAATTTTGGTTTGGTCACTTAATGGACTGTGGTATTTAGCGTCGTTCGTGCCTGCTGGATTCAAGTTGAAAGCGTCAAGGACCACATTGAGAGATCTATGGAGGTACTTGGTTTCCTTAAGGAGGAATTTGTAAACGTTATGGATCCAATCGGCTGAGAAAAGTTGACATCCCAACCACCTGTCAAACGTTTCTTGATGGTTGGCCAATTCGGTTCTCAGCCCTCGCCTAACTAACAGGCAATGGGCACATGATACCACTTGCAAACAAATACGCGTACTGCCCATGGTTTCGCTACTTCTCATGTGCAGTGTAGTCCAACTTCAAGTTCCGAGGCGTTGCTCTGTCAACGAAATATGACTGTCACCATTTTGCGCAATTTCATGTTGTCGATGGTGGTCCGCGCACCAAACTGCATCGACTAGAGCCACTAAGACTTGTATCTCCACGTTGACAAACATTAAAGGTAAATACGACGGCAAAAATCGCATGAAGCAAGCTTGAATTGTCGCACCACGGGATCGATATTCGGAGCAGGGATAGATGCCAGGATTCAGTCACAGCATGGGTTTCATATTTGTCGGTCTGGTAACCATTGACCAGGTGGATAGCGGTCACGTACGAGACTTGGTTTCTCGAATAGTTTCTTCGCTTTTCCTCCTGATTTGCCGCTCGACCACTATGGCACTTGTCCCACTTGGGTCAGTCTCGGGAACTAAGACACGATGACATGCTCCACTGTTGTGTGCGTACCTCAAGTAGTACGTCGGATGTCCTGTAAAACACTAGTAAGCATGTCAGATCTTACCAAGCACTTGCTGGTGAACTGCGGCCTTGTTCATTCGGTGACCCCACTAATTGTGAGCACAAGCACCGTGTACTATGATACGCAGTCTTCTGGTTTCTCTCCCGTTCAGTTGCCGGCATTGCTTCCTACAGCGAAAGCCGGCGTAGCTAATAATTTTACTCTGACATCCCTGCACCCATTGTCGGTGCTCGGGGCTTTACATAGCCGATTCTCTAACGAGCCTAATTGGCGGCTTGATTACGTGAAGTGGTAAAACCATGTAATCATGGCAACAGGCTAATTGCTTTGAATGATTATTCACCAACCTTAACAATCGAGGCTTGTCAACCGGATGCTGCGACAATGTTCCTTGATTCGAATGCGCCAATAGCACATTGATTTGTGCCCATATCTATGCATTGGGCAGTTCAGTGTGCACTAACAACGTACACAGTGGGTGTAAGGATCGTCTTGCCACAAATTTACAATGGGTCAACCAACACCTTATGGTTCGCATGAAAGCGATAACACCCATTCGTGAAGTGGATGGAATCGGGAGCAATCTTGATTTCCCTTCCACTTTAGTTAGATCCCCAGCTATTGCTTGTTCCCAAAAACCAAATTGTAATGCTTACATGATAGCACGCACTCAGATGACACGTGGTCCAGCAAACCTAGCGCAACGTTTCGGCCAATACAGGCATTCTGGTGCGTTGTCAGTGTTAGGTGAATAGCTAGTTGACATTCATTTTTTGTGAACGAGCTTAATAGCCATTTTTTATCCTTCCTATTTTCCACTTCTTGACTGTTGTTTAAACCCTCCACTGTGTTAACCCGATTGGCACACATGTCATTGCTAATGGACGCTCATCGCCGTGTCATCTTCAGCAGTGCTATTTTTAAGAACACATTCTTTTGATTTTTATCCGCAACACTATTCTACTTGGTTATGTTAAAGGAATATTTAGTTGTCACACAATTGTTATGCTGGTTTCTAACTTTTGGGTCGCACTTCTTATTCTCGTTTGTTTCGTGACATTTGTTTCGATGCTACATTTGGTTATTTTGATTGGCCAGTACCCGTCACTATAAATGGATGTTCGCTTTGCGCTTGGGGTCTCATGATGCTATTTTTAAGGACATATGCGATTTGCTCTTGGTTACAGGGATGCTTATTCGCCCGTTGCATTTGACCTTTTCCTTCTATTGCTTGGCTCAACTGTATTTTGGTAGCTTCTCTTTACCTTCAAAACTATATTAAAAAATATGATTTCATGTATACAAGGCTCTTTGGACTTCTTGCGGTCGTGGGGTGAAGGCGGCAGTGGCGAGATAACAATCAGTATGAGCGAATTTCCTTAGCGGACCGCAGAGCGGCTAGTTTACAATTACCCGATCTTCCACTATGACGAAATCCACCGGTCCGTTCTTTAGTTAGCCATCACGAGAAGCTTTTCTGCCACAATTTATGGGGAAATAATGCTGAAGCTAATACTTCTATGCTTATCACACAGTGTCATTTGACTTACAGTAAAGACGGAGCCAGACGATTACACGCGGTGTTCTAAAGAGATTTCTTCCATGCATCATATCAGACCGAGGGAATAAATTAGTAACGATATGTTCATTGTCACTTTTAAGCACAAACGAGTGAAATGACTTATCCCACTTCATCTGCTTCTTTTCAGAGTTATTCGATAACGACAAGGTCGAATTGCATAGGCCATAGGATTCTGATCCTGCTAACGTCTATGTAATCGGTTCAGTTCCATCCACAGTTAACGACGAAAGAGAATCCTCCCACACTCTACATGATGAATCCTTTTACTACGAGTTCGCTTCATGTAACAATTGCTGATGCAGCGGAGTCGCACTGGTGGGTTTAAGCGCACTACGTTACACTCCGGCGCTTCACTTGACCGCATTCAGACTTCTGCGACTGAGCTGGCGGACTAACATCTGCACTCCGTTTTATCGATTTAGTACAGACACACAATGGACCTTGACTTCGTGTTTCCGCGTAGCTTGGTCTAATATGCACTAGATACTCGGTGCGGACTTGCTGTGAACGCTGAAAACACAATTCACAGCCAAAGGGACCTGAGTAAATTTGTGCGGAGACTTCAATCGATGCTTTCGTTCATCCGCCGCTTCCTCATTGATGGGCATGTTAGCGGGGCACGTTCTCTCTTCCTAGTTGGAGACCCGAAGCTAACACCAGCGTCCAAACTTGTTATCTACTCGAACGTAATATGCATAACGGTTGACGGATTGTGCTACATCGCAGCTACCAACCTCACCATCGCTCAGGAGTTTCAGATTTTCTGGGGAACAGTATTGATGCTTTTACTGATGAGTTCGGCTACAACCAAAAAGCTTTCCAATGCTTCTTCCGATGCTAAATGTTGTCCCACTGGGCCGAGTTGTAACGAATTCTTCTCAAAGAAAGACAAATGCTACTAGTAGCTGCTCAGCTTTCGTGGCGACTGGATACCCAAAGCAAATTGTCGCAGCCTCGACGAGTAAGCAAAAGTGCCAGGCTCGTAAGATTTAAGCTAAAATGGGCTGAATGGTTTAAAAGAGTCAAAAAAAAGAAAAACCGTGAACGCGTTTATCTTAGCGAGCCTACTACTCATCATACTTAACAACGGCCCTGATGATGAGCTAATACGGTAATGTCTCACTCGCTGTTTATGCCTCACTGGCACGAAGCCAAACGGGGCGTGGAAATGCGGATGAAACCTTTTCAGAGAGTACTCCGCATGGAAGCGAGTTCCCAGGGTACGGTTCAACGGATAGCCTTAGTACTTCACCTGCACTTTTTTAAATAACCGCTTTTATCCTTTTATCAAACTGTCCTTCTTTCTAACATTTTCGCTGATCGAACTCCCCGAAAACCTAACTTGGAACTGCGGTGGATAATTCAAATAACCTATACCCTTTGAGATCCTTCTGTATCAAATGTTCAAAACAAGCAGTCAGACTGTATCTCGCACGGTCGATATATATATATATATATATATATATATATATATATATATATATATATATATATATATATATATATATATATATATATATATATATATATATATATATATATATATAGCTTATTGGGAGGAGATGCTTCTGCTGAATTACTACCTGTCATTGTCCGCCTTCCAATATAAGCACTTGGCTTAGCTATTTCGTTTTCCACCAGTGAGCCTCTCACTGTACTCAGTTACTGCTGCTATAGGAGGGATTAGTTTTCTTCGCATGCCGAACGGTACACCTCCAGGCCATATCCAATCATCTGTTTACTCCCGGTGTGACACGTATCGCACTCTGGGAGCTAGCCACACGATCGCTTCCAAGTATCGCTTTTTTACTCTGATGGGTAAGTGTCCATAAAACTTCTACGGCTGTTTTTTCATTTCACTCTTGTTATCCATTTCATTTTCTTTATTTTACATTATTTTGGCTCGTTAAAATATAAAACCCTCTGCGCCTCACTTTCTAGCTCGGGTTACGGTTTGTACATTGATAAGGACTGGTTCGGCCATTAGCCGAGCGCCATAGGCCCGTATTGATAAGTACTACCTATGAGCGGTAATGCAGTTCACTTGCGCAGTAGTAGGTTCTTCTTCTTCCATTGACACAGAAGCATACATTCGCTTTGGTCAGCTGGATCGCCGAACGATTCTTTTCAATCAATTTACTTACCGCAAGTTCTGCGTCCATCTGAACCCGGCACCATACCTAGATCAACCATTTTCTGACGATTTGCCACCCTCGCACCGTGGATCAGGGACACAAGCTGCTGACTACTTGACTTAAGCTGCTATCGGTCACGTGTTCGGCTCCATACAGGGGACCGGGGGACTACACACCACTGACCAGCCCCAATACGGCGAAACGGTTGTCTGGTGCCTTTTCCGTATTCGTGATTGGAATTTTGAGCTCGTGGGCTGCTGGAGTGAACCAGTAAGAGTTCATACGAAATCCTCTTACTCATAAGTTGTCGTTTTCCTTCTATCGATAGAAGCCGCCTGTAGTCCTGGTGCCAAGCTGCGGTTTTAACAGTTCACCACTATGGAGTTGTCCCTTGTCGAATATATTCTTTATACAGTCTGGGTTACATTTCTCAGCTGATCAAATACTGCGGCTAGCTTTGTTACTGCTGTGTTGAACAGTTAGTGAATACCTCGTGTTTTCGTTCAATCTTCCGGATTTGAACAATTTTGCTCTACCTAGATTCCACATGGGAGCGAGTTATGCGGCACCTTGGACTGTTCTCCCTGTGCCCGCCCGCCCGACCACACCTTACATCTTTTCCTATTATACCTTTCGTATGAGCACCTGTTTAACTGGACACTGGGGCAAGAAGTCTGGTGGTCTTAAGTGCACAGTTACACCAGCTTTATGCGAATACTGTTGCCTGTACGCGCATAGTGTTGTATTAGTTCCGTGCTTGTACGCAAATGGTACGGCAACCAGTCCTAGAAACCTGCTCTTTAACGCCATTCTTCGTTGGGTGAAGACTATTTGTAATATATAAGTAGTATATTTTTATGATTTTTTTGCAGACGAGAACCACGTGTACAGCACGCTGTTTCGTCACAGCACCTGCTATGATGTGCTACCAGATAGTGGAAAGCTACTCGTGTTGGACTCTCGAATAGGTGTAAGTCGGTGCAAGTCTGTGTTACTTTTTCCATTTATTATCCTAGCTACATGCTTGCTAAGCAAATGACCTGCCTGGTAATGAGAACGGTCAGCTTTTGATTTTGTTATCAATTCGATGGTGCATTACGCAGTTCTGTTACTCTAGACTTGAGTTGTCCATATTTTTCTCAAGGAGGATCCCATTTTTGGAGGTAAAAGTATGTTGGGTCATGAAAATATTTGGGTGTTGCTCCTCCCAACACTGGCACACCATGACCACGGTTTCGTCCTGGTTTGGACTCATCAGGTGGAAATAGCCTGAGCTGGGGTGGAACTCAGAGCTTAGTAGTTCACGACTGACACCCTGAACACTATGCTACTGAGATCCGCGAGCAACGCTTGGCACAACGGAAAGGAATTCAAAATGGAATTTAGCGAACACGCTGTGTGCTTGGGTTGCGACTCGCAACCTCTATTGAGACCTCGGTTCACTTTGAGGTAAACCTCGGTCATTCTCATCGCGAAGACCGTATGTCGGTCCGTATTCAGTCTGACATTGATAATAGCAAAAATTACACATATCATTAAAGTTTTAATTCCAACTTTTTAATAAGAAAAGTGAAACTTAGAACATTCCTTTATTTTTGATTTAGTTAAGACCCCTTTAGAAGAGGCACTAGATTGACTTTTCCTAATTAATTAACAATAAACAGTGTATCATTGATATTTGCCAGCATCTGACGCCATTGAATTTTGTACTCATAACATCCTTGATATTTGTAGTCTATATAATCTCGTCTGTATGAAATAAATCCAAGCTTGAATTTATTATTTCATGATGAGGCTGTGGGCCGCATTTGACCTGCGGGCCGGAGTTTGGACATTCCTGCTCTAGTCATTGAGGACAAAAGTTCCAACTGGGATTAAGTATTCCTTTAAGGCACTTTGAAACTCTATTTTCATTCGCTTAACATTTTTACGCTCTCACCCGACCCATTATCCAGACATCGCGCAGCATATTTAAACACGCAACGTAGTTAGCGAAAACGAGGGTACTAACTGTTGAACGCAACTAAAATGTACTCGATTTGACGCTTTCCCCACACAATCTGTGTTTGGGTCTGAAGAGCGTATACCGCAAAGAATTCTTAACCTTGAACTGATTTCTGGTCTTGATTCATGTCAATGAAATGGGAATATTTGCTTGTTGTAGAACCACATTGCCCGTGATTCGTTGAAGATTGGTATTTCTTTTCACAGCCATATGATTTATAGGACGTTTCGTAACTTGATCTTGTTTTGGAGCCTTTAGAACTGCCGTTGTCTTTTTGGTCCGAAAGGGTCTCAGTTATCTCTCTTCTCAATTTGATCACATGGCTTATTCTAGATAGGTGACATCTCATTCATCTCCTCTATTCAGTCCAAAATAATCCTTTGGATCATTTTTCTCCGTGCCAGCAGTCTATCGAATGCCTGCCATATAAGAATAAAATTAACCAATACTGAAAGAGTCCACTTTCACTTTACTTATGCTTGTTGCTTTGTTTGTTTTATGTCGGTTATCCTAACTGTGTTGCTGGTTATCACAACCTCCTGTAGGTAGTTCGTGCAATCCGAGCTCTCCTGGAGAATGGGGTCTATGCTGCCCCTGTCTGGCATTCGGCCACACAAAATGTGATTGGGCTGCTGTCGCAAGACCTAGCCTTGCATCTGCTCGCCTCGTTGTCTGCCTCAGTGTTGGATATCCCTGAGCACGAAACTCAGTCGCCACTGCCTGAGTCTACAAGTAAACACCTCACAGGACTTGCAGAGGGCTTGCGCGTCTGGGGATCGCGACAGCTGTATGAAGTTATACGTAAGTAATTCAAATTAATTCGAAACGCTGGCTGTTCGGGTAGGATGTACAACTACAGATCTGCTCACCGAGCCAGTCGATTTTGCTGCGGCGAAATTGCCAAGTTCGGTGAGTACGGTAACATCTGAATGTGAGCAATATCCCACACCATCCTCCGATATTCCACAGTGACGTGTAGTGTAGAGGAAAGATCACACCACGATCTGTGCATTTTTTCTGCTTTTTGTTTTCTGATTGTCTCAGGTCTGCTTGCATCTCGCATTGATGGTAATCCAGCTCTAGCTCCAGTAACTTTGGTTGCTCCTCAAACTGGGCTGAAAAAGGCGCTGAATCGTCTGCTTCATCCAACACGACCTGTCCATCCACCTCTAACTCGACAGCACAGCATCGACCGTGATTTGCCATCTCAGCCGATGGATGCTGTGGACGCAGTTGGTGGCAGCTGCAATCATGAGGATTCCATGCAGGTGGATGAGGTTCCCACAGTTTCACAACCCCTCATGGTCCCGCCACGCCATCTCACTGACCCAATCGCCCCAGCCAGCACTCCTCAGCGCGCTTCAAACATGAATGTCACCCCACGGGCGCCGTTGCCTGCCGTCAGCCCCACGCATCTGATCGTTATGGACCCACTGTCGGGCAACTTACTGGGTCTACTCGGTGTGGATCGCTTGCTCGCATATCTACGACTACGACTGGACGAGCTACCTTACTGCTCACAAATGATGGTGAGGTGTCGCACTGTTCTATCACAAGTTATTGTTGCCTTGCGCCATTTTTCTTATGCTTTTGGTGTGGAACACGAGTTGTCGCTTCGAACTGACACCTATGTATTGCGATTGTTACTTAAGACAAGCTTTGCTAGTTGTGTTATCCTGTGGATTAGTCGAATAATCGACTTCGGTTGGTGCCAGAAGTAGAATTGTGGTATCCTTATAATGTCGTGGGTGACCAACGTGGTACGGGAGCCAGGGTAGTAAGTGTTGCGCGATAGCAGCGCCTGTGGCCCACAATTAGTACTTCCAATAAATAGCCTCATGGTCGCTCGTTGTTCCTCATTCGTTACATATTTTTTAAACCTTTTATGCTTACACGTATGCAGCTTGCTTCGAGTCCAACCCTAGCTCCATCCCATTTGACCATAGCAAGCCGATGCGTGACCAAAAGAGTAAGGCTTCTGCCTTACAATCTGGAGGTCGCTGGTTCGATCCTGCGTTAGCGACCGGGCGATCCTTGCAGTATAACTGTGGCGCGACGGCTGGTGGTTGCGTGACAGCGAATCGTTGGTACGACCTACCGGCGGACTGCTGACGCTAGCCTACTATTCTGACCAAAGCAACTGTTCTTGATTCTACCTTGTGGTCGATCTCTGTTCGTGGGGTCCTCTCTGACATTCTCTTGTCACTTTGGTCCGAAGGCGTGACATCACTCACTGTTCTGGTTTATATCTTACTCTAATGAAGACATGTGGTGCTAGCTGGTATTCGCCGATTGGTTGCTCAGCTGCTATCCCTTTACCAGCGGTTGTTCCTTGCCAGGTTCCATCTCTCCTCTCTTCCCAACTCTGACCTGTTTCAATTTAGCGCCGAATGCCTCTTCGCACTAAAGAAATCAGTCATTTCAAGTCGAGAACCACGCACATTTTCTCTCCGCCATTCTCCCGAGCAGCATTTTACCATCGCTTGCTGCTCGGCACTGGACCAACAACAACGTTCCATCTAACCATTGTGTCCACGTAGATGAATATTACTTGTCTACAAATAGCTCATGTGTGAAGGCCCAAACGTACTCCCCATCGAGCTGTTCGAATTGGGTCCGAGCTGCATAGAACTTTGATTCTGTGCAGCCTCAGTTTAATTGTTTAGTTCCGGTTATTGTACGTCCTGTACCGTACACAGACACTTCAGCTGGCATGGCACATGCGATACACTGTTGCTGCAGTTTGCTCATAGTTGTGCGGACCAACATGTGCTGTCCCCACATGAATGTCCACCATGGCTGAGCATGATGCAAATACTGACTAAGCGCCTATCCATACGGGGATATCGCATCGATTGCGAGTTTCGGGATACAGCTAACTGTTGGTGAAAGACGCGGGATGCACAGGCTTCGTGACCATGATGGGCTCAGAGTGGTTCCATCGTGTGGCGGATCACGGCCGATCTACCACCCTCCGAACGTTTAGTACGCATGTTTTCCACAGGTTTGCACCGATAGTAAGGTTATCGGAAACGGGCAAGTCGGCCCTAAACCAGGCGTGGTTATCATTCACGTGCTTCGTGGCGATGTTTCTTCCGCTCTTCGTTTGGCATACAACGTTTCGATGTAGCTGTCATTGACGTCGCGCAAACCCATCGTTTCCTGTATACACCGACGTATCTTAAGGCAAGTTGTAGCATTATGCCAGTTGTACTGTTGGCCGGGTTGAATATATATATATATATATATATATATATATATATATATATATATATATATATATATATACCTTAACAACCCAACGGCCTGATTGCTTCATTTGCTCGCACTAGCGTCTACGCCATAATCTCGGTGCTTTTTTCACTTCCTTGAATATTTTATCATTCTGGCGTGCCTTCTGCGCTCGTTCGCATGCTGATAGGCTTAGGAACCTTACTGGTCCAGAGCGGTACTTTTTCTGTGGTACGTCTGATTGCCACTATGTGGTATGTGCGACGCATATCATGTGGTTTTCTTCTCCAGTTTGACCATTATCCACCCCCATCCCGAACTCATGAAAGTTCGGCTGACTGTTCGATGGCCTGACAAGCTTAAAGTTCGACCTCTCAATCCAATTTGCACACCATATATCACTTGATCCTCTCCTTGGTGCCATGCCACTGCCTATTTTATTGCTGTGGTCAGTACTAACCTGTAACGCCTTCCTGCCACGATACGGTGACACATGCATGTCACTGGTATATTTATCTTAGTACGTCTTATACGGTGAAGACGGACGTCGAGCTAGCCCTCTGAGAATCGAAAGGAAGACTAGGTTGCGATCCAAAAATCCGTTACTAAGATACAAAGGGTCAGTTTATAATGTACACCAACTTGAATCACTAGTTAATTAGAGTGCACTTTCACTGGCCGATTCCTGCTAGCCATCTGCCTGAGTCCATTGGCTCGCGCTCATCGTTCATTCGCAGCTATTTGGACCACTTATATCTTGAGGGAAACAAAGTTGCGCTTGTTCACCATACACCAAATCACTTCCGGGCTATTCATCCGGTCGAATGTGGTCAATTTGCGCTGGTGGCACTGGTTGGCCTTCCAGTCCGCTGGTCACGCGTCGGTTTCGGTCGCGTAACCTGCCAGCTGCCATCACAATGGATCACAACGGATGTCAGTGCTCACTGAGTCCATCCTGTCATACTCATTGTTTGGCATCGTATGTGGTTCTCTGGCCAGTGTTCATTGGGAACTCCGTCTCGGAGGCCCTCACATGCATACCATACAAGTGGTCCTAAATTAAACTGCCCGTCGGTGAGTTTTCGGCAGACGACAACTCCTTAAGGAACACGGATTTCATGCCATTCGATAACTCATATCGCCAGTGGTTCCAACTGACGCATCTACTCGCACTGATTTGCTAGTCTATCGCAAAAACTTATGCTATCAAATAACCATACTGTGAACTCAGCGTTTATAGTATCCTTTCCTCACAATCAAATTTTCATTCTATACTTCAACATATTTCCTGGCACACACGAGAACCGAAACGACACCTCAACCAAATCAAAGCATTGGTGCTTTGCTTCTTTTTGTAGGCCACCATCGAGAGCATACCAGGCCTACTCTGGACCGAGCGACATTCACGCATGGCGGCGACTATAATGAAGGCTGCTCATCGTTCTTCGATCGATACAAATCACGGCTCAGCTGCCAACGGGATTCACTTTCCAGACCCCATCTTGTTTACGAACACTAGTTGCCAAGAGGCATTGCGCGCCGTGGCCACTTGGCTTCCCCAACTTCCTGCACTCCCGGTTCTCAGTCCCACTCAGGGTGCCACTACTCAGGCCAATTTTCTACAAGGTTTTATCTCACCCGGTGATATATTGGTACGTTGGCGATGCCGCCACAGCAGATTTTCAAGCATTTTTTCAGCTGTGGTGCATGTGTTTGTGCTCGATTAGTTTGCTGGGCTGTTCTTGATGTTTTCCTATGTATTCGTCGGTGACATAATGTCCGGCTGCTTCGATGTTTAGGTCGACGCTAACCCCCGAACAAATAGACGATTGTTTCCAAGAACATTCGTCACCTCAGGGTTCCACCAGACAAACACTGTAGCTACAGAAAAACATTAGACGGCAGTTTCTTCCTCTCGGAACTCGTCAGTTGGACGCACTCCATCTATCCGATGTGAGACTATCCCTCGAAAGTCAGGGGTCAATTGTTTCAAGCTTTTTCGGATAGAGAAATAACTAACGAGCCCCGAAATGACGAGACGATCATTTAGCGGAGGCCATTTAAAGCACTCGTTGTGTGAACTCATTGTGATTCGTTATCTCTCTACCAGGATCGCGATTCGCTTCGATGTGAGTTTGGGTCAACTCAGTCATTGCGATTGCATTTGGAGCAAATACAGATTGTGTGTTGCTCTCCAGAAAACATTACACACTGCGTTTCGACCTTATTTGAGCTCATAAAGTTGAGATAGCAGGCCTGGAGCCCGGGACTTCTACCACTTTAGCCACCGTGTCACGATAGGTAACATTTGTCACAATGGTACGAAACCTGTCCGGAGGTGTGTAGTTTTGCTTGAGGGTGACACCTAACATTCATCGGTTACTTCATACTTTTCCGATGTGAAGTGGCTGTTTGGTTGAGTGCATCTGTAACGATTCTTCTTCGACATTAATCTAGGTCCGTTCTTTCGTCGCTCTTGAAATAACCTCTTTGTGTCTGATGTTAGACGGATGATACCATACACTGAGCTCTTTGTTAAACTATTTGTTAAACTGCGGTACAGCTGAAGGAGATACAGCACAGTTTTTGGAGCCTTTCGTTGAATGCTGGGAGCAGGGAGCTGCACCTTGGATCCATTGATTCATTGCACAGATGGATTTGGAGATTATGTCCATAACACAATAGATTGGAAACTATCGACCAACGTAACTATGGTTTTCCTCATGCAGATCACTCACACGCCGGAATCATCAGAGTGGATACTGTTGCCCTATTGAAGATCAAATAAGGAACGAACTAGCACGTGCTACGGCCACACTGACCGCACTAATCTCGTAGGCGAAGTAACTTCCTTCTTGATTTAGATCCAATCAAAACGGAGTAGTTCCCCCCGTAGCCTAGTGGCTTTAGCTGCTGGCTAGTTGGTGTCCGACTCTAGCGGTCATTGGATCGATCCGCAGTAGGAGACCGAAGGATGCGCATCACTGATGAGCCCTGATAGAGCGAAACGCGTCTGGTGCTTTTGTCACCTATGGCTTAGTGGCACAGGCTACTGGCATCCGGAAGTCACGGGGTCGGAACCCGGCAGGGATCCGAGGAAGGCGCATTACTGAGGAGACACAAGGTCGAAATAACGCTGTTTTGCAGCTGTAGTATGCTGACACCACGCAGTAATTAGCGATGTGATTCCGCGCATGCGCTCGATCCACCTACGAAGGAGCAACGCAGACCTTTGTCTTCTCGCTCTCTATTCTCAGTATTCGGTATTCATGCTGGGTGCGCTGAGTTCCCATGCTTATTATAAATTTCGCTATACTGCGCGTTGATACATCGTGGGTAACACTTTGACACTGTCCACTCTTTCCACTTGTCAGCACTTTGTTCTCGGTAAATCGCCAAATGATGCAGTGACCCGACCGGTAAGCAAGATACTGGAGGCGAAAATGGTGGTAAGCTTATTTCTTTTTGCACTCAACTCACTTTGCATTTTATCTCCTTTTATTGTGATGTTGTTTTCGTTCCTCCCATTCGGGCCCATATGCTCCCCACCAAGCCACATGAGCAGGTTGATGGTCCTGTGTCCTGCTGACCATTGGCAGCGGCAAAGTTGTGCTACTGCACCATTTGCCGCATCTGAGCAAACCGACACAATGCGACGTCACCGGAAGTCACACGCAGTTCTATTGACATTACCCCAGTTAATCATTGCTGCACTTAAGGTATTCTAAGGGGGGTCACAGCCCGCATTCACGAAACACAAGGGATGAAACTAGCTGAGCGGTGGTCGAGCATTGGTTATAAATGGTTCTTTCATGTTCAAACGCAACCTACTGTCAGAATCTAGTTTTGACCCGGCTCCCTTAAGTATGAACAGTACTTCTAGATGAAGGATTTTACTGACCTGTACCTATTCGCCATTTCATTCTGGGAAGAGAATTTGCATAAAATCCAATATTGGCTGCAAATTTGCTCCCGTCAGATGACTTGCTCGTGGCAAACGTAATGGCGTGCGTATCATATGATACATGTGTAACTGTGTATTTCGAGGGTAACAAAAGGGTCGAATTACTCTTACTGCATGCTACGCGATAATTGCACCGTCTGGATGTAATGAAAGTGATCGATGGAGTGGCTCTGAGCATCAGCGGAAAATTGAAACACTCGCATTTACCGGTTGTCCTATGAGAGGGCTGAAAGCTTCTTTTCACACTAATCCCATTAACCTCTCAATCTACATAAGCTATCATCTGCTCTCGGGATCATAAGACTTGACCTCTATTTTATACTTGTCTTATTCATTCATAAAATTCTGGTGCATCGTGATCTAACCCTTCAATCAGTCTACTTCTCGCACAGTCGGCGAATATGCCGTTGTTTAGCTATTTATCCAAACATGCGCAAGCTGGATTCGAGTAAAATCTTGATGCTTGTGATTTCAATTGTTTTCTGCAGCGCCGTTGTTCATTACACGTTTCTAAGTAAACAGTACATTCGCGAATCATCCGACGTTACATTCCTGACAGTGCTGTTGAGACACCCTCGCGGTCACTGCGTTCTCACTTCACCACTTTCGGCAGAGCAAATGTAACTGGGAGGACATTTTTGAATCAAAATTCCTATCTCAATCATCATCGCGCTGTCTCCCTTGTATCCTTCTGTCTATCTTCCGACCTGGTGATGAGTACGGTATGCGGAAGCAGCTTCTAAAGACGCGAAGGGTTCGATTTCAAAATTTTCTCGTAATACTGATGAGAGGAGGACTTCAGTCTCTGAAACACGTCCGTGAACACCGCCTGTCTCATCGTGACCCACCCTTGCTGCTTTCTTGTGGGCGTGCGTATTTCGTTTGACTGTGGTCGTTTACTGACGCTTTTGTTCTCTTCCACATTAGGCTGCCATGGAGATGGATTCTGCGAACAGATCTTATGATAACACTGGATAGATTCCCCCTTCACTTCACCAGCTGATACAGCCATGCATAATTTTTCAAATGTTTTCATTCACTATGTTTTTGGCTTACTGTCGTTTATCCGCACATTCCCAACCGAGACATGCCGTTCTTACATCTATATCGCGCTTTGCCCTCCAATTCCACATCAGAATCAGTAGTCGTCATCGATCTATACCTAAAATTATAATAGAAGAATTCAAATGTGGACAGTCAGCGTTTACTCTCAGCACTGAATTGCGCAATTTTGCTTTCATTATAAGCTGTGCTTCTTTCGGTGTTGGTGTTGCAATTCCGTGTGAATAGCGAAATGAAAAACCCTTATGATGTATCATTTTCGACTGTCAAATTCAATTTAACGAAGAATACTCTGTTTTCTGTCCCCCCCCTCCCACTCCTTCAAACCGGGAAGCATTGTCGTTTCCAACAAGAACACATTTGTCACACCTACCATACTGTGGCCGATGTGCTAGACCGAATGTTTCGTCTTCGAGTGAGTTCTTCCTTCCGTAACTTTATCACTAACATCATGGACAGCAATACCTCGGCACGTAGAACTACCGGTTTGTACTCAATGAACTATGGGCTAGGGACTAACCAGTGGGGACAAAGGGGGACCTGGTACAAAGTCTAGATTTCCTAAGCAAACCCTTAGGGCTAGGGTGCCTACGCCTTGTTGACAACAGGCCGTCACAAACAGCTGTTGCAGAGATAAGGAGACATCGGAGATCTCAGCGCCTCGAGTCATAACACGTCTTGCGTCACAGACCACTCAGCATCAGATGCACTTTGAGCGGGCAGTTCGATTAGGAGACAGCAGCAGGCGCGCCACTGTCGCTGGCTGTTCAGCGTATCCTCTCTGTAACCGGCGAGTGCTGTCACGTTTCATGTGGTGGTTTGCATTTGCCACTGTAACCTCAAACTATCCGTGCTCATTGATCGACGACCTCGCCAGTCGGGTAAAGATGCAATTCAGTCGCTTTACTTTGCACAGCATATCTGGGCCCTCTTTATAGAGAGATTTCTATCCATTCTTACTGTTGATCTTTGCATATTGGCTCTGTCAACTAGGGTCAGTTGAGTATAGCGATAAAGATAATTAAGTTAATTAGCGACATCCGAAATAGTTGCAAGAGCGTCAGTTTAAGTTCGTTGTGTCATTTGGTAACAGGAATCTTGAGTAAGAGCATGACAGCTAATCGACGTCGGAGGTGCACGCCGCATGTCTCATTCTGTGGCAGGCGCTAGCGTAACGTCACATATACCACAAACCGACTGTGGCTTTGTCGATCGATTTCGTGAGCACATTCAATACATTCAATCACTCCATTATAATATCTTTATTTGTTCGAGTGCGTTTCTGTGAGACAAGTAAACGTTCTACGCGTCCTGTGCTCGAACACTGATATGTAAATAAATAAATAAATAAATGAAGGCATATTTCTCGACGAGCGTGACACGTTCCATTTTGTGCAATGATCATTTGTCAAGCAAGCCTCCTCGCCACTTCATCTATGGGACAGCGATGCAATCTTTTATTGAGTTGTAATAAGTAACATTAATATAAAGCTAGTTTTGTCATACTTCTTTCGGACCGGATTGCATTGATGCTCGCGTGGGTCGAAAAGTGTGACCACATTTAGCAAGGAAGAAAACGTTTTTAGTTGGGATCTGACGAGCTCGGCATTTAGGAGAGCTAAGTTGGGGCTAGCTTCTGCAACTACGTTTGCACCTCAGAATGCCGCTTGACACTACTGTCATGCTTTTTTCTCACGTGGCGTTAATGCACCCCCGTTGCACCCGAGTATGACCCTAGCCAGATGATTGTGAGGCGCCATCCGGATCCGATATCCAGTGAACCACCGTATCCACACTGCTTGTCTGGACTTCTATGTTGGAGAGGACTCTCTGTACCAATGTGGACGGTACATGCGTCATAACCTGTTCATGACCGCCTTACTACGATATCCTTGCTTCATAAGGTGGTTATTGATGTCTCCGACCACGTTGTATTGCACACTGACAGTGTCTATGTCCATCGGTGCACTCGGCCTGTGTAGTGAACTCGTGCTGTTGTTAAGTTGTTAAGTTGTTGCATTCTAAAGCAGCCACGCGGCTAGCTCTCGCCCTCCGCACTTGCATACCATCTATCTCCTTGTTATTGTTCACAGCTTTTACGGCTCCACTTAAACGTCCGGCTACGCAAGTATTGAATACTGTATACCGTGTTGTGGGAGCAAGCAGACATTTAAATCTCTACAACTTCATTGCAACAAAACCAAAATGTTATAAAAGTTATCTGCTACTCGTAATAATCGAATCATTTCTCTAATTCTTATGTAGCACCTTCAAATGTCGGACTTACAGTTTTCCTGGGCTCAAAAATATGCGATATCATTGCTACTGTGTAATCGTTCTATGAATGGAATGGTGGATACGTGTAAATTTAAAAAAAAATTTGTACAGCTGCACAGATTTGCCCTCTACGACTTACTCTGAACATTTATCACTCTTCATTCGAAAACTAGGGAGTGGGGAACTCGCTTTAAATTCGAGACCACAAGCTTGTACCGGTGTTCGCGTGTGCTGCATGTTCTTTTGCAAGTGAAGTAGCGACCACAACAGGGGACAGTCAAGGAGATGTAATATGCCATAAGTCATGATGAGATCGACTCGCACCCGACGTTAGGACAAGGTGTAGACTTCTAATTTCTGGCACCGGTTTTTGTACCGTAATCCCCATAAACTCGGAATGAGCCTGGTAGTGACGTATGTGATTCGGTCAATCTTCTGTGCTTCGCCTCGGGTGATTAGACAGTAGTCGGATGAACCGTACTCCAGTACTGGTCTTATGATGAAAGAAAACAGGCTAATGGCGACCTCTTCAGATCAAGTACAGAAGCTGTGTTTGAGCGCCCTTAACATGTGCAGTCCATTACGATATAGCCTGTTTGTGTTGTCAACAGATTTCAAATCGCAGCGCGATAGTACACTTAGGTCCTTCACGGGAGGTGTGGCGTGTAGCGGTTGGCCGTCAAACTATGTAAGTTCGGCCGTCACCACCCTTCCCCAGGCACATGAATACCGACTTACTTGGGTTGACTGGGAGGCGGACTTCAGCAGACCACATGGTGAGGCGGTTGAAGTCATGTTGAACTAGGTCACAATCGTCTCAGGTACCAATGACTCTTCAAATCTGCAGGTCGTCACCAACTAGGGCACACGGCGACCGAAGAAGCTGAGATAGATCGTTGTTGTAGTTAAGGAATAGAGCGGGTTCTCAGCACCGGGCCTTGGGATACTCCACTACACCATTTCCCGGCCAAGTTGTCCTCTTGGGCAACAAAAATAATCTGACGGGGCGTTCAACATGAGTCGACTCAATTAATTTGTTCCTTGCGTAGGAGCTGAAGTGTCCCACCTGCACCACTATGACTTAGTGCGTCTGAGGTTCACTTGGCTGAACGCAACGGGCTATACACGCACCCCTACACACCTGCACAAGTAACTGGCGTACGCACGGAACAAATTAATTGAGTAGGCTCATGTTGAATGCCCCTCAGCTTATTTCTGTTGCCCAAGAGGACAACTTGTCCGGGAAATGGTATAGTAGAGAGATACCAATCAGTTAGGTGCCCCTCGACATGTACACCCCCCCACTTTCGTCCAACAAGAACGTTCTGGATCCACTGGTGCACTGATCCACCAACACCCCACATTCTCACCTTGTGAAGGAGGACTTCATGGTTTACCTTGTGGAACGTTCTACTGAAATCGATGTAAATTACATCGACAGACTTCCCCTGATTTAGTGCTTGCAACCATTCATGCCTCGTCACCAACTGGTTGGTAATGCATGAGCGGCTTAGCATAAAACCGTGCGGTGCGCGCGTCAGTAGACCTTTTGATTGGAGCAGCTGTAGTAGGCCCTTCGTCACCATCTTCTCAGCAACCTAGCCTATAGTTGGAAACAAATGAAACAATTAAATCTCTTTAGTAATCTGAATAAATCCGTACGAAGACGAATATCTGTCAAATGTACCCCTCGTTGCCTTACAACTAGAGGCATTATCACTTTGAACGGTTTACAAACATCCACCTGGTAAGCTAAACCGCTTGTTCATAGAGGCACAGTTTGAAAACTTTTATGACCGGTTAGCAGAACTACAGCCGTCTGAGACTGCGACTGTATTTAAGAGCAAGTAGAAAGGTTTCTGTACAACTCTATCGAATTACGAAAAATCAAAATTTACTTGTGAATTATCAGCAGTTGTGTCTGGTCCGTTAATCGTTTATCCGTGTTCGGTTAGAAATTTGTACTAGCGTCATTATTTCCGGACATACAATGTCTTCTTTTGGCACTGTATGTGCATCGTTTCACAAAAGCACAGGTTTCCAAAATAATCGTCGATACGAGTTTTAAAACACTTCACAGAATCGGCCTCTATTAATCCTTCTGGTAGTGTATTCCATAAGTTTACGATTCTTCGTTCAATACAAAGCTGATGTGATACTTTGTTCATGCTGGGGACCCTGAGTTTGTAACGATGTCCTCGGGTGTTACAGGGTTCTCGCAGGTGAAATATTGGCCGCAGTATGGGGAAGTGATTCAAGTGTAGTACTCGATGGGTCATAATAAGATCAATTCTTACTCGGCGATAGGATAGTGTGTAGAGTCCGAGCCTTTCACAGCGTTTTTCATATGGAAGCTTTCGTAGATTTGGTATCATTCTAGTTGCGATATGCTGGATTTTCTCCAGTTTTTCAGTTTCCCATTGGGTTATCGGATGGTAAGCTGGGGCACCGTATTCAAGGATTGGTCTAATGAGACAGGTGAATAGACGAGGGACGGTTTCTTCGGACCATGTGGAGAAACTGCGTCTTAGTGCCCAGAGCATACGAAGTCCCGCACGGTACAATTTCTCTGTATTTTCTAGTGATCTTAAATCATGTCGTGAGAAAACTCCTAAGTCTCTGACAGATGTGTTGGGATGGAGCAACTGGCCGTCCAAGGTGTATGATCGAGTGGCTGGACGTCTGGTGATACTGATGAACTCCGACTTGCTTGCGTTAAGAGGGAGTTGCATTTCAGTGGGCCACGTTGACAGTCGCTCTAAGTCATGCTGGAGGCGAGCGCAGTCGTCCTGGTTTTCAATGATCCTCCAGATTTTCAAAACATCTGCAAACAGGACACATGGTGACTGGAGCTGCTGCGGAAGATCGTTGATATGAATAAGAAATAATACTGGCCCAAGTACAGTTCCTTGAGGCACGCCACTGGTCGATGGGAACCATTCTGTCAGATAGTCATTGACCTGTACTCTAAACCTTCGTCCCACAATAAACTCTTGTATCCACTGAAGTAACGTGCCCCCGATTCCGTATGTCCTCAGTTTACGAAGGAGTACCTCGTGGTTCACTCTGTCAAACGCCTTACTAAAGTCGATGTACACCACGTCAACATCCTTCTGTTCATTGAGAGCTCGAACCCAC